GAAAGCGGACTTATAAAGTTCGCTTATTGTTAGTCTTAATATTATATTCGATTATCCATTTTTTTTCATGAAAAATAAATATCATATTTTTCTCCTACGCAAAAGTTTTACTATCTTATCAAAACCTTTTTAGAGAACAAACTAAATCTCGTCTCGTTTTATCAATTAACTATGGAACCTTTGTTTTTAATTAATAAATATTTAATAGGATTGATGATTTACCATCAAAGAAATTTTTGTTCATCGGGCGATATCCATAAACACCACTTTCACTGTGATAACACCTGATACTTTCTTTCCGGATGCTGCCAATCCTCGATTTTTTGAAAAATTCATTTCGTTTTTTCAGGGCTGATTTGATACTTCGATACATGATATTTCAGCACGAATGTTGCTTGAAGACTGGTGAAAATGTTGGGAGAGGGTGATCGTCCATCTCCTCTGATTGCTGTCTTTATCATTTGCAGGCTTATCTGTTTGCGCGATAGTATAAAGCAATTGCTTGAGTCTGTAGTGGTCCTCAATGTTTGTTTGTATTCTTTTTGCTTCATTAATGAAACTGGTGGGGGTGATATATATTTGGAACATAGTAATGAACTCTTAGAATGAATTAAAAGATAATAAATTAAAACATGCTGTAAATATATTTTATTAGTGATGGAAGATAAAATACTTTTTGTATAGATGAACATTTTTTTATACTTTTAATACACAAAAAATTATATTACTTCATGGAGCTGTTTAAAGTTTATAGATTTTTTTATAGTTTTTAGATTTTGGCTTTAATTGACCTTTTTCTTACATTTCTACATCCTTGTGGAAAAATTATTGACTTTGTCTACTGACGACTAATTTTGCTGGCGAGCAAGTCTTCCAATTAAGATTCTCCTGGTTTCAAAATGAACAGAGTACTAAGAAAAATTAAAAAAAGGATATTTGATAAATAATATCCGTCGGATAATTTCGATTGTTAAAAAGATATAAGTGAAGGATAAAAAAT